CTGCGAACAGCACATCCGTGAGGCTGCGCTTGAGTCCCGAGACAAAAACTCTCAAAGCATCATCCCGGAATTTCTCACATAGGATCGCCGCTGCCGACGCTTCATATGACATGGTTACTTTATTGGTCAACAAGGTGAGTTTTTTCTCGACCTCGTCATAATATTGAAGAAGCGTTAGGCTTCCCTGTCTGAGGGTGCCTAGCTCCTGTTCGATAACATGTATTGGGCGTTTATCACTGTATGTGAAATCGAGGCGACTTATGATCGCGTCGAAATTGAGTACGGTCCCAAAGGACGCAAGAACTGCATCAGCAGGGCCTTTAATTTTGCTCCTGATGATGACCACCGCCTGATAGTGTCGCGAACTATCCTCATATTCTCTAAACATATGGTAAGCTGCATTTGCCGCTTGCCGCCAGGAGACGTATGTCTCCTGGGTTCCCATAAAGTCTGGGAGACATTTGACGGCATCCAATGTTTCGTTACAACTGACCTGTCCAGTGATAGCTACTGGTTTGTAAACCTTAATCTGGGGAGTTTCGGCTTGCGCCGGGGCAGTTCGTATGGCCGCGACTTGACCGGCAAGATCCTGTATTACATTACGTAATTCTGCCTCCCTGCGTTGACTGTCAATAGCCTGATCTTGTAAAGCTTTTATGAGAGTCTTAATTTGTTCCGTTTCGAGCGACATTTTATATGCAATAAATGCGTTAATCGGGGTGTTTTTATGCACAGAGTTTTCTGTGGAATCGTCGCCTTCTGACTCTGAGTCGCTGGCGAGCGGTTTAGAATTCCTATACTGTAGAAATGAATTGCTCATGAGGAGCTGAGTACATAAACATTCAAATCGTCTTGCCCATAGGGAGCACTAGTATGGCGAGGGGACGCGGGGGCTGAGTCGGCGTTTAATAACATTGGCCGAGGGCTCGCTGAGCGGAGCCGTAGGTTCGTTCAGCAACGATACGGTGAGGGGCTTGCGGGGAGTCTGCATCCGCTAAGCCAAACAAATACATAAATGACAAACAAATCGTAACAGCAAAGACAAAGAGATATATAAAAGGCAAAAAATTGCCACAGCAATGCATGCGCTGCTGTATCGGGTGTCGGGGCAACGATAGGAGGGCCCGAGACGGCTGCGGGGAGAAAATTCAAGTTCGAGTGGAACGACAGTGTCCAGATATATGCAGAAGTGGAACGAAATAATGCACACAATGTAAATTGTAGGTAAATAAATCTCTGTGACAGTGTAAAAGAATAATTTAATCCGCACAGTTAATGAAAATTTAAAATTCCGTGTTCAACTTTAATTTCATTAATATAACTTAAATTCACAACACATACAAGGGTTAGGATTGTCATGGAAATACAGATTAGTGTTTAGTGTAGCTCGCACAAATGTTTTAGAACTTTATTTAAATGCAGCTGGGGTTTGGAGATAGGCGCTCACTTACATAATCTGTGTGTCTTGTGTGTGTTTTGTTGTGGGTTTCCAAGTTCGTTGGGCGCCAGTAATATAAGTGTGTGTGACCCGGTATCGTCCCGCGCCGCAGTCAACAAGGTAGGGGTGATGGCAACTGATGTTGTGGCGACCGTCTTCTCGGTCGGGGAGGGGAGCAGGTATATTCCCCGGTGGAAGTGAGCAGGCTTTGGCAGCGCAGCTAGATCCTGTAAGGTAAAGGTACGGTGGGAGAACTTTCTCCGTTGTTAACTGCCCTTGAGGCGAGATAACCAATGTAATAAAATGCAGCGAAGCTGGAGTCAGTTTCAGAGCGTGCGCTCTTTATTGTGTATGAAATCAAACTGAAACTTAAAAGCTAACAAAATAAGGGCTTCATAGCGGCCTCTGCAAATGTGCAGAGCTTTTGCCAGCTATGTGAGAGCTTCCGGCCAAACGCTTGGTCAGCAATTTGGCCGGTGCCGGAGTACGGACGATCGTCCGGTTAACTCAGTTAACTTAGATAATAAGTACAATTATTATTTGCGGCTGTAAGCCGGAGCACGTTCTGATTTATTTGGACACAAAACTGAGACTAAAGAATTGACAAAACATAGAGCTAAGTTTACCCTAACAGCAATGCATCGCGCCACCAAGACGAGTAGGCAAAGCCGACTCAGCATTCCTTGCAGCATGAAGCAACACTCCGAATAAGAAGTGTCAGCTTTCCGTTGCCGGACGTTCTTTGCGCAGAGCGCTGAACTCAATTCTGGCGCGTCAGCATTCTTCATATAGAGCTACTTAGTTGCTATGAATTATTATGTTATGAGTTGTTAACTTATATGTATCTGTATGATTTTCCTTGAGATATGAGTTTTTTGGTTATGTCACGTTTTTCTGAAGTGCACTGCTTTCCACGTGCGCATTTATGCTGCTCTTGCAGTATTTGCAAAAGCCTTTGTTTTTATCACTTTGGTCCTTTGTTAACCAATTTTTAAAATCGCGAAATTTTTGTTTATACCCTTCTTTAGACAATTTGGCAGAAATCACAAAATATGTTTGCTTTTGTATATTATTTTGTTTGTATTCTTCTTTAGGCAATTTGGCAAAGTGAGTTCGATATGCATACGATTACACACAATATCGAAAACATTTTGCTTAAAAGAGATGCCTAGAGCGCCGGCAGCTCTCTTGTACGCATACAGCGACAGCCGATCACTGTATGTGTGCAAATTATTCTTTGCCTTTTATTATGGCAAACACGAGACTAATTTTCAATTATTTATTATCGCTAGGCACGATGTGCTCTAGTCAGAAGTCAAATTAAATCTAAATACAAGAATGAAACTTAAGCTACCCTAAGGCCACCAGTCTCTCTCCTGCTTTCCGCTGCGTCAGCGCCTTGTGCGGACGAATTCCGCTCCCAGTGCCCGCTATGCAACAGAGTCGCCGATCGTCAGGGCGAAGCTCTCTCTGCGAAGTGCACTGTCAGCGTTTTCGTGGGCTGTTGGCGACACCCAGCTTGGTGACAGCCAGCAGCCGGGTCGGGTGGCTTAACTTGCATACGATTACACACAATATCGAAAACATTTTGCTTAAAAGAGATGCCTAGAGCGCCAGCAGCTCTCTTGTACGCGACAGCCGATCACTGTATGTTTGCACACGTATGTTCATATATTGTAAATTTGACAAAATGTGCCCTTCACTTCAGAAGTTTATGGACTTTCAATCTATTTTCAACTCTGGCAATCGAGTACAAAGTACTCGTAAGTAAAAAGTAAAAACTTTAATTTTGCATTGCCTTAACATGACAATTATTTACATCATTACATATAACTATATTTACTATAATTACATCATAGAAATAGTAATAGGTGAATATATGTACATAATAATACCGAAATAATACCGAAAAAATACCGAATAAATTACTTTATACTAGAAAATATGTTGTTAGAGTATTCACCTTGCGACGTGGAAAATATATTTGATCTTCGTGATTCTTAGGTGCGCTGGTCCTGCCTCAAGAATTCAATTTTGCAATAAACAGGTTGCATATGAAGTTTTTTAACTATTTAGTATATTTATTAGTACAAATTATTAGTATACACGTAAAAAAATATGCAAACTTATGTAAATGACAAATTTTCAGTATTTGAAATGCAAATATTATTTTGTTGAATGTTTTTGTTATATTTTAATTTCATATTTTTAAAAACCTCGCAATTTTGGGTGGATTTTGGGCGCTAAATTTATTTAAATTTGAATTAACTTCGAGTAGATATTTTGTTGGACATATTGCTAAGGGATCCAGTTTCGATAAATGCAGATCGTTGATTTTAAAAGAAAGTGAGCATTTAACAGCTCCATCTGAGCTTTTCATACATGAGAAAAAGTAATCGATAGAATCGGGAAATATATTTGAAAATATTTTTAAAAATAATAAAAAACAACGGTGTATAAAACAATTTATTGTAGAGCAATGCATTAAGTGCACAAATGATTCTCATTATGGTTTCACTTAAATATTGACACAATGGCATAAAATTGATATTTTAAACAAACTTATAAAAGTTTTACTTTTTAAGCATTGCAAGTGGACTGTGACAGCTGATAAACAAAAAAAGCAAGCAAAACTCAGCATTCTATCTCATAAATGAAAAATTAGTGACGAATAAATAAATATTATATATACATGTATACATATATACATACATATATATATAAAGTACAAAAATGTAATAAAATGAATTAAAATAAAAGGAACAAATTATATCGAAAAGCAATAGTTAGAAAACTAGCTTAGTTGGGGAACATGGAAATATTTTAATGTTTAACATTTATTATTTATATAATTTATTATTCATATAAATATACGACCCTATTACAATTGTAATGTCCTCCCCGTGATGTTCCCTGGGTACCAAAAAATTACATATATTACAGATAGTTAATAATAAAAATATTTATATGTAAACGGTAGCTAATTCGAGCGGCGAGTTGGTTCGTCACCAACTCCTCTATCCTAAGGGATCTCCGGATAACTCTGTTTGGTGTCATCAATCACCACAGCAGCCGATACGCCGACAAGCTGAGTTAAGTGTGCGGTACCAGGCAAAAAATGTTTATGTAAACCATATTGTGGGTCTAGACGAGGAAATACTCTGCATATATCTACAAATGAAATTTACATTAAAGTAGTAATTTAAAAATTTATTCCTAATAGATAAACGTAGAAAACTTAAAACTTTTCACTTACGTGAAAAGAAAAACAAATTTTTTTTGCGGCTTTCTCGAATTCTCTTATACTCTGCCTTAAAAAAGTTCACGAGTTACAGTATCCGACACGGAGGAGATGGAGGCGGAGGAATAGTTAGCTAAAATCAATTGACATGATTTTCATACGAATTGTCATAACAACAACAGTGCTAACCCATATTTTACAGCTCACTCCGGTTCGTGGTACGAATGTTGGCCCCCAAATACGCAAATGTATCTTCGTGATCGATCAAACTTGGACCCTTGCCCGTAACTATGGGTGACCAATTCGAGGCAAACTAACCTAAGCCAAGTCGAAAGGCGAAGCGTTGGCCAGAAATCAGTTGGGCAACAGCGAGCCAAGGAGCTGGGACGCTCGGCAAAATCCAGATAATATAGAACCCAAACAAACCAAGGAAAGAGGGACCCTACACTCCACAAAAATATGTGCGACTGCGGCTGCTACTCCTACTGTCTGCAAGACAGCTCCTGCTACAGCCACTATCACTCGCATTCTCACTTGCACTCGCATCACTGCTGTGCGGGCTATAAATATTTGAAGTGCCTCTGCCGCTACTATCGTCATGGGCACTGCACCTGCTCCTGCTGGCGGCGGAAATGCTATCTGCTCTAAGTTGGATGAGGTCCCTTTCCAGGACAAGGATGAGGCGGAGATCCACGCCAAATGAGGCGCAAGAGTCAGCACCACACAAATCACAACTCAAACAACGCAAATCAGCAAAGAAATCACAAGATGAAGTCCTTTAAGCAGTTGCATAACACTTGGCTACATCCAATGGAGCAGGAGTGAAATGGAAAATGAAAAATGGTGTGGAAAATGGAGAACGGAGAATCAGAAAGGGAGAGCAGCAAACAACTAGCGTGCATACGGATCGTATGTGCAACGTTTTCAGTTGTTGTGTGAGTGTGCATGTGCTTTTGTCTGTGAGTGCAAATGGTTCAAGGATGTGGCTAACATTGTTAACGACTGCGTTTTGCATTTTGCATCTGCAAAATCCCCATTCACACCAAACATACACCTAAGCCCAGTAAAGCAAATCGTATTAGTGCCTAAGAATTACTTTACACCCCACAATATATACTCGATAAACACCCAGAACACATCGTTACCGAACTAAATGCATTCCGACGTTCAAGTTTATCGCCATATTTGTTACGTTTCCAATTTAAAAACAATCTAAAAATGAAGTTTTACTCCAACACTACTAAACATATGCACTCTTCAATGGCAGGGAAGAAGAATATATATGGAAAAGTTTATAATCTATTGTGAATTAATATACTAATGAATTAAATTTTCTGCGGAAATAAACCAAAATGGGATTCCCTGTATTTGGGTTACGTGTTGAGATTATCTGTTGCAAATGTATAATTTTTCGTGGAAAACTTTATGATTTATCCAGAAATACTTGCTCTAATTATCTATTTCAATCCTAGCTGTTTTCTAAATTATAAACCATATGCCACGTAATTTCTACACAGGATCTACATTTTTCCCCATCGTAACCACCTTTTCTGACTTCATTCATTCCTAGCTTGGTGTTGGAATTTTCCGACTGCGTTTTAAATATCAACTGATAACTCAGAATTAGCGGAAAGGGATGGGATCCTAACGGTGACTAAAACTGGAATGGAGGTGGTATTGTACAATTACAATATTGTGCAGGGGGGTACAATTCTGTTGACATTTTCTTGGCACATTGTAAAAATTTGTCGATTATTTTAGGGACAGCTTCAAACAACTTTTTTCAAGGATTATAAAGCAAAATAAAAAAAGGCGAAACATGTACTCTTTAATACAACTGTTTTAATATAATATATCCATCTTTTACCAGATTCCTCATATTGTTGCCAAATCCCCAACTAGTTTCTTTCGTACAGTCTCGGTAATGAAGTCCAACCTCATTTCCTGACGCTGTATCGAATGTTAGTTGATAAAAGTGTATTTTGTTGTTAAAGAGCGAAGAGCTTCTGCTGTGTTTGAGGTTCTGTATTTTAATGTTGAATGAGTGCTGATGTTGGGTTCAGCTAACCCGCACATACAATGCTTATATCTATGTATTCCTAATTACATATATAGTAATATTTTATGATTTTGAGCCTATTGAATGGACTGTTTAAATTACTCAGACCAACGCTGAAAATTGTTTTTTCCAAATAAAAAAAAAGACGATTAAAATATCGGGATCGAATGTGTTTTTATTGTTCAATTGACAGCTTAAGACTGAAAATCAAATGTGAGTAAAATTGACGAGAAGCCTCTGTGCTTAAAGAGTATGTTAGTATTTTTTGTGAGAGCATTGCTCTTGGATTCTTTGGATGAGGAGAAGCCTCAGAGAGGGCAGGCAAAACTGCTTAGGTCAGGCTTTGGGATTTGTTTACATGATCGGTTAAGTGCTAGTGCCAAAGAATTGTTTATTAGATTGCATACTGCGCAGATGGCATACAGTATGGGATTCAATTATTGTTTATTATTGCTTTATTGTTTATGGTTTCATGGTTTGGGTGGCGCAAATACGTCACTATATACATATACATATTTATGCAGAAGGCAAATGTTGCATATGCATATGTTATGTATAGCTTGACCACTTGAGCTGCAAAGTGCATGCTCAGCATTCTCAAGCTCCGCGATCGGCTTTTGTAAATTATTAAGATCCAGGTGGCCGCCGGAGGATCCCTCGCAGCGGTCTCCAATGATTTGCCGGTTGGCTGATGGTGTCCCTCGTGTAGGGAAGGGGGTGATAAATCCACTTGGAGATTTACGACGATTACGTTGGGAAGGTGACTGCCTTCCGTAATGCAACTGGCCTAGGGACTCAGATTGCTATGATCAAATATAAAATTAACGACAGAATGCCGGAGTTGTTGGTTCTTGAGCGATGGCTCTTTATTTATGAGTGTCCAAAACGAACTGCTTAAAGCTAACAAAGGAAAAAGCTTCATAGCGGCCTCTGCCAAAGTGTAGAGCTTTGCCGGCTATGCTCGAACTTCCGGCCAAATGCTTGGTCAGCAATTTGAACGGTGCTGGTCAGCGGACGATCAGTCCGGTTAACTTAGTTAACTTGTATAAGCGTAGATCATATTACTTGGGCGCTGGAATGCTTATGTAGTTATTGGTATTTTGGGTATTTGTATATTTGTATTTATTATGACAAAGTGTCACAATGTATTGACGCTAAGTTATACCCAATCATATAGTATATTGGTAGGGTAGATACACCTCCTTTTTTAAAGAAATGATGTAATACATGTAGTCATTTAGTTATTGTGTTACAAAATATATATTTTTTTGAATTGATTTTGATTTGTTTCTTATTATATACTTAATTATTAGCAATGGTCTTATCTCAAAGCATTTGTGTGTAATGACAACAAAAATTTTTTTTTTTATATTTATTTATTTATTATTTATTATTATTTATTATTATTATTTATTATTTATTTTTTGTATTTTCGGTTACGTTATGTTTTGTATTATGTTTAACTTTCTTAGAAGATTTTTTTTTTTCGGTTTTTTTTTTTGGGTTGACCTTTTCTTAAATGAAACGTTTCATTGATTATATATTTTTAACCTTTCCTTAAGTACTTTTTGTTTCTCTAATTATAATGTTATCTCTGTCTTCTATGGTTTCTACCGTATAAGGACCTAAATATATTGGATCTAACTTCGTTTCTTAGTGTAACATTATCTCCTATTTTTAATTCAAAATCTGAAGTTTTCTTATCGTAATTTTGTTTCCTATAAGACTTAGCTTCTTCTAACATAAGTCTAGCTCTGTTATATGCTATTTCTAATCTAAATTTTATTTCCTTAGAGTAATCTTCTACATTATATAGTGGTTCTATACTATCTGTTTTTTTTTTAAATCTACGAACTGTCTTGGTAATCTTCCAAAGACTACATAAACAATCTTCCAAGCATACATAAGCTAAGCTGAGTTGGCGACAGTTGTAGCGGCGACAAAGCTGAAGCTACAAGAAACTGCTGAGTGAGAAGTTTTGGCAAATGGTCAGCAGCGGATGGCGTGATCGCTGCAGAGGCAGTGGAAGGGGAATTTAGGTTGCACGAGATACCAGTGTGCAAGGTCACCGGGTGTAGGAGAGGTTGCCCAAAAATATATCCAAGGAGAATCTCCAGAATAAAACCAATCTCAGTTTTTTGTCGTCCAAAATGGAACTAACTGTGCTTTTATTTTCCAGACCTAAGCTAAGCTAAATGTTTACAAAAGATTTCTAGTGTTCGTTTGCAACATGTATATATCGAAGTGCTGGTGCGGCGGTTCTTGCTTCTTAACCGAGAATTGTCGCAATCACATCCTGTCGAAGTGCTGTGTCTGCATTTGTAGCAGTTTCGAATCAGCTCATAGGGGCAATGACTGTTTTGGCGGCTTGCCGGGTGGTACCGAATCATGTATAAATTATGAAAAGGGTTGGCCGGCGGTTAACGCGCGCGGCTTTTACTAATCAGGTGTCAGGCGGAGCCGTGACAATGGAAGATTAGGAGTTACTTTTTATGCTTTATTATACCGAGCCAAGCGGAGCTGTAGCGTCGGAGACAATATCAGAACTGAATATAAAATACAAGAATTCAAACTTAGGAGCTAGCATGAAAACGAAACACATTGTTGCGATCTCATATTCGTAGCGGCCACGCAAATCTGCAGTGTCTGCCGGCTACGTATCGACATCCGGCATAATGCTTACGTTGCAGTATGCCGATGTCGTCGTATTTCATGCGCCCGTGGGAGCGACGTTAGCTTTAGGTAACTACCTAACTACTCGCACAAGAGCTGCCTGATGATAGCTGGCAGAAGGTGGCGCTGGTTGATGCGGTGCAAGCTTTGACGGTGTAGATCTCGTTGTCGCATTCTGCGTTAACGCAGAAACGTAGCATCTAAACGTAGCATGGCTCCTTCGTGACTGACGGGGAAAATAGTAATTTTCTTACAGGCGAACTTAATTACCGGAAATTTAATGATAAAGTGTAATGCGTTATTGGACCGCAGAACCTTTACGGACGATACGGACATGAGGTCCCCTATGGGGGTGTTGGTGGGCTCCTCTAGCCAAACTGAACTCAAATCTGCGTGATCAAGAATATTTGGGCTAACAATGTTCATTTTTTCAAGTGTCACGGCCAACATTAAATTGTGAAGCTCCATCATGAGCATTCTATTTCTCGCGAGCAACGTTTCATACAAATGACCGGAGTCAATTTGCGACGCTTTTGCTGTTTTGAGGATTAAGTTGACAGTGGCAGTTAATTTATTAATTTGACTCTGGATTTTTGTATTGATTTCTATCTGCCTATTGTTCGCGTCTATCAATCGCGCCTCTACGACCCTACTGTTTTGCAAATCGCTGGCATCAGGTGTACCGGCTACAACCTTTAGTATAGAGCCCAGGAAATCCAAGCTTCTGGCCACTCGATGGTGCGCGAGTTATCAGTGTGGACACGAGGGGGAAGCCAGTGGGGCGTCCTACGTCCTTTGGTTGATGAGTGTGTATGGTTGGTAAGTATGTAGGATTCTAGTTGTGCATATATGTATATATGTAGGCACAAATGGAAGTTATTGGCAAACGGGGAAAAGATGAACACGACTGAGTCTGTTGGAGCTCAAAACCAGAGTGAAGTTTATTCTTTTGGATAAGTCTCCTCTAGTTCTCTGTTTTGTACATAAGTGTTTTGTTCTTAATAGTACATAGGTTCTTAAATGTAAACATAAACATAATTTTTGTGCCGCTTCAGCATTCGGCTGACCGAGTCCCTTGCAGACAATGTTGCTGTGCAACTTTGTACGCGAAGTCAGCACTTGGCCGGATGCGGTGTTCTAGTTGTTCGCCTTCCCGGTTCGGTGTCCGACAACGTTAGAGGCGTGGAGGTTTAGGGGGTGGGGTGGTAACTCGCGCCCAGCGCATCCAGCAAGTCCCGGAGGTGTGCTGAATCTACCTTCAGCAAATTTCTCATGTGTGACTGCGGGAAGTGGCTAAGCAGACCGACCGTCTCCTCTACTACACGTGCGTAATCCGAAAGATTCGCGGAGTGCCTCACGTAGGCGAAATTCTCCCACACCAAGATCTAGCCATCGACTATGGGAATGTATTTGGCGAATAATCGGTGATGTGAGCCGATGCCAATGATAGAGACACGAGAAGGATAAGATTGGTCCTGTGGGTGAAAGTTTAAATGGTTGATTTTTCTATTTTGTAGACAAGGGGAACCCAACACCAATAAATTTTTATTATTATTGGTGTTGGGTTGGCTTAAGAATATAATGTGCGCGGATGGCGCTACGCTTAGATCTATTAAAAATTACGCCGAGTGGCTAGAAAAAATTTAAAATTAAGCGAAACACTGACCTCGCTGCTGAGCGCGTCATTTTAAATTGTCCTTGTGGACCACCCTCCCCTCAATGAGGACCGTGGTCCCCATGTCCGCTTCTACAGCTCTTTCTTCGCACAACGGCGTGAGCTTGTTGCCGAGTCTTCGGTTGGATTTTACCAACACTTTTTCGCCAACATTGAATGTCCTATTCTGCCGCGAGGCGTTTTCTCTGGCCCTCAGCGCGGTCTCAGTCGTCTGGATCCTATTGTGGATCTCTAGCTGTGGCTCATCGGGGTGTGTTAGGACGATGTCAGCCGGTCTCCTGTCGATGACCGAGTGAATCGACTTATTATACTGGGTACTGGCCAACATTATTATTTCGACCGTATCACTCAAGCCCTTGTCTATCTTTATGCATCTGGCTAGCTCCAGCAACGTGCTATGGAAACGCTCCACCTGCCCGTTGGAG